GCTGAGAAAGCATATGTTGTTCACAACGAATAACCTAAGAAAAGTCTCCACCAGATGACATATTTCTACTCCAACTATTTCCATGAACTGACGCTTACTGAAATCTAACTGGCTCCTTGCACTAATAATACGAGCAAGCTCACTGAATCGAGCCCAATCCCACTCGTGTCCGACCTCCATTGTGCGTTTCGATCCACGGCTACAACTTGCGCTCTTGTGAGTTCTAAAACTATGTGCGATTGTACCTATTGTTGTTTCTCCCATGATCCTTGCGCACGTGCCTTGTGCATCGCAAGCTTATGCGTGGCACACCCACACTCCAACACCGAGCACCCCGTGGCTTGCCCTATTCCTCGGGTACCCATGTGTGTTCCGACCTATGACTTCGCACGAGATACCCACTCGATCCTGAGCCCGACGCCCTCTTCTTGCGTGCTGTTGCCTCCACCTAACATGAGAAATTCAAAAATTTGCTTGAACTCCGCACCAGTCCATATGCGTGAGAAACCAATGATTCTTGAACCCACGAAGAATCCTCCACGTGTTTTCATCTCCACTGTTCACGCGCTCGTATGCGCTCCAACCAAGTTTCAATCCCCTACACGCGCATGTCGACATCGTGCTTTTCTGTGGACCTGCTATTTCATTTCGCACCCTGCATTCATTTTCGGGCAACCCAGACTTGCATATTTTGGTAGCTCGACCCTGCATGCATCTCACAACTCGTCTAATTACACACTGCTCCGGCATCCGCTCAGAACACGAACGCGAACATGAATGTCCAGTCCGAGCCTCCTACCCCATGTGATCCTACATTGACTACACGCCATCCCACGTTACGATTCCCATCTGCCTGCATAGCTCCCGCCAGTCCAAACCCCACACGCATGTTTTCCCGAGCCCCGCATTCTCGTTCGCACACATCTGGCTGCCCTTGTCAGTGGGCGTTAGCCCGCGCATCTACCTACGCACGTTTCTTCGTCCTGCGTATGTGTTCGTGAGCGGGTATCTTGCGACCTGCACTCCAGTTTGATCATGCACCTTACGCGTCCTTACTCACAATCCCTGCCTTCAAACAATACATGACTCCACAAGCAATTCTGTTGGCCCAGGCCCTGCCTTCGTTATACGAACCTTGCACTATACATCCCATCCACCTTACTCGAACAAACTCGTGATCGAAATCGCACCTCTCATCCCATTTGTCTCACGCAAAATGAATCGTGATGCCTGACTGTAACCACTCAAATATGTGAAATAAACTTATTTGAGAAGCATGAAAATTCTGGAGTAGAGTGAATGTGTTGGTGGGGGGGGGGGGGGGGGGGTCCCATACATTAACATATGTGATCTATAAATAGCTATTGATAACATTTTTTGTCTTGTGGAACATCACTAGCCTAAAACTAGACTATTACCTAACAATCTCCACATTAGTCCAGATTTTACAAAGCTTAGAAAACACTTTGTTGTTCATAATGAATAGCTTAAGAAAAGTATCCACCAAACAGGATGTTTCTCCTCCACCTATTTCTATGAACCAACGCTTGTTGCAATCTGACTGCTCCCTGCACTAATTCGACGAGCAAGCTTACTAAACCTAGCTCAATCCCACTCGCGTTCGGTCTCCATTGTGCATTTCGATCCACGACTACAACTTGCGCTCTTGTGAGTTTTAAACTACGTGTGTCTGTAACTACTATTGTTTCTCCCGCGATCCTTACGCACATGCCTTGTGCATCTCTAGCTTATGTGTGGAATGCTTATGCTCCAGCATCGAGCACCCCGTGGCTTGACCATCTTCCACGGGTACCCATGTGTGCTCTGACCTACGACTTTGCACGAGCTACCCACCCAATCCTAAGCCCAACTTCTTGCGCGCGATTGCCTCCACCTAGCGTGAGAAACTCAAAAATTTACTTAGAACTCCACACCAACCCATTTGCTTGAGAAACCAATGATTCTTGAACCCACAAAGAATACTCCACTTTCTTTCATCTCCATTGTTCACACGCTCATATGCGCTCCAACCAAGCTTCAATCCCTTACACGCGCATGTCTACACTCTGCTTTTTTGTTGACCATCGATTTCATTTCGCACCCTGCGTACGTTTTCATGCAACCCAGACTCGCACAGTTTGGTAGCTCGACCTTACAGGCATCTCACGACTCATCCAATCACTCGCTGCTCTGGAATTTGCTCAAAACACGAACGTGAACATGAATGGCTTATTCGATCCTCCTACCCCACGTAATCCTACACGGACCACACGCCCTCTCGTGTCACAGTTCCCACATGCCTGCACAACACCCGCTAGTCCAAACCTCGCATTCTCGTTCGCATGCATCTGCTTGCCCTTGTAGCAGACGTTATTCCGTACATCTGCCCATACATGTTTCTGCACCCTGCGTATGTGTTAGCCCGCAGGTATCTTGCGACCTGCACTCTAATCTGATCATGTGCCTCACGCATCCTTACTTGCAATCCCTGACTTCAAATGTTACCTGACTCCACCATCGATTCTGCCGGCCCAGGGCCTGCCTTCCTCTTACGAACCCTGCATTAGACATCCTATCCACATTACTCGAACAAATTCGCGATCGAAGTCGCACCTCCCATACCATTCGTCTCGTGAAGCATTACTATAACCACTCAAATATGTGAAATAAATTTATTTGAAAAATATAATTTTTTTGAAGTAGAGCGCTTCGATGCTAATTTGGTAAGCTCCGCGCTGCTAGGCCATGAACTATATATATACATTCTCGCCTCACCCCATCGACTCCATCACTTTGTTGCTTAGCCATCAAGAAATTGAAAGAGAAGAAGAAGAGATATAAGAGAGAAAGATTTTTGTATTATATTTATCAGTCATTGTTGTTATAGATTTTATTTTATTCGTTGTAAGTGACTAATCTCGTACTTCTGTTTTCAATGATTTTAATTTCTATGAATTTTATCTGTCCTAAATCTGTAATGTATTATATTTTAATTTCATAAGATTTTACCATGCATGTTAAGATATGTTATAGATTTAATCATTCTGAATAATTTGATATGATTTTATTGCATTTTAAATGAAAGAATGAATGATATGATACTCGACATGTTATCCCACTAATGTACGTGATTCAATGACTGTCAGTCAAAAGGAGCTGGAGATTGATTGGGAATTATAAGGAGTCGGGCGACTGATTCATGTGATTCAATGGGAGTTATAATTGTACATTGATTGAGTGTTATAAGAGGCGACTGATTGAGACTCATAAGTGCATCAGCAAGATACCTTTAAGATACACTCATTGAATATCTTACAGATACCTACACTGCTACGAACATTGTACTAATATTATGACTGATACTAATATTTTTTTACTATCATTAACACAATTTAATGTTATTAATCATGATATTAATTTTGTTACTGACATTAATACTTTTGACTGTTACTGATATTGTGACTGATGATGTAATTGATTGAAATGTATTGTTTACGAGAGGAGTTAGACATTTATAACCTCACTTTGGGCTATTTCATTAGGGCTAGTCCCGATTTTTTTAGTTTTATATGTAAAAAATTATAGTGATTTGTATGAATTTCTTTTATTTGTATGTGCACTTTCAAGCAAATCTAAGAGGTTAAATTATCTATTTACTTCGCAAATAGTCTAGCATGTAACAAAATTAATGAAATATCCTGAAACCATTTAAAGATGAAATAGTTATATGATACTATATTATTAGCTAAAGTTGAAAAAATTAATTCTTTTGTTAAAAATAATTAATAATATTAAAAAAATAAAAAAGAGCTGAATGAGAAAAATAAAACTAACGTTGAATGGCCATTAAATTATTTAACTAATATACTTTAAAATACAAGAGAAGATGTGGCTTAATTTTTAATTTATTATTGTCATATACTTAAAAGTTTAAATTAATTATTTAGAGCATTTGTTCCAAACATAGACATCCATTAATTTTTTATTTTTTTTAATTGGATATATAAATAATATATCACGTATCAAATACACATAAAATAAGTGCATGCGTCATATATATACTCAATATTGCGTGTGTCTTCATTATAGAATTTTAGTGTATTATAATTCACTACCCTTCTCCACTTCATCATGAAAACTTATTACGTGCGGAATCTGGATTTTGTCTGGACTCTACTCAGATACCTACGTGGCTTCACCTTATTTGAGTCTAGATAAAAAATTATATCTACACTCCGTACGTGATAGTCTCTCCTCCATCATACCCCACCTCTCAAGATTGTAAATACACTCAACATCGCGCCCCCATCGTCAACTCATTTCCTAACCTTGCCAATTTATCTTTGGAGACCTTTTGTTTTTATGTCCCCAAGTAGGGTTGCAAACGAACCGAGCCGAGCCGAGTATATGTGTGTTTATGTTTGTGTTCATTTAATATCAGCTTGTTCAAGTTTGGTTCATGTTTGTTCGAGCTTTATTGTTTGTGTTCATGTTTGGTTCATTTAAATTAATGAGTGTTCATATTCGGTTCATGTTCAGTTCATGTTTGTTCATTTAGTGCTTATCAAGCTTGTTCGCGAACATATTTAACGATTTTTTTTAATTATCAAACAAACAAGTTTATGAACATATCTATGAACAAACACATTTATAATAAAAGCAATTGTCTATGTAACAAATGTAATGATTAATGTCGAGCTTCTTATCGAGCTTAATGTCGAGCTTGTTCACGAACTTCAAATGATGTTGTTCGTGAACATAAATGAGCCGAACGCACTAGCGTTCAAGTTTGTTTATTTAAGAATCGAGTATTTAAAATATTGTTCAAGTTTGTTTGTTTAGTTAATTAAACGATCACAAACGAGCTTTAATCGAACCGAACGAGTAGCTCGTCGAACATTTGGTTCGCTTGCAGCCCTATCCCCAAGATGAAAAGTTATTAGGTACGGTGTCCAGAAATTAATCCAATATATAATACATTAGATGATGTGATACGTCTGAATTGACCTTCGTAAGCATTCTTTCTCCATCCAGCCTCCAAAAACATAATTCCTCCAACAAACCCTCAATGCGGCGTGAAGTATTACGGACTAAAACAGGGTAATGCATGATTTTACGACGGAATATTTATAATTACAATTAGCGTTTTAAATTTGTTTTAGAGGTAAGGGGTCAAAGAATCGTTGGGGGTTAGCGCAATTTTTCTGGTTTGGTACAGAAGCATTTCCCATCTACTCTGTGGATACATTCAGGGCCGGCGATGGCCTCCGTAATGGCCGGCACGAAGCTCTCGTCCTCTTGCACCACCTGCACCGCCAATTCAAGAAATCCAACGCAGGAAGAGGAAGAAGAACGAGACCAGATCTCCGACGATGATCTCACCCCAGCCCTCTCCCTGGCGGCCTCCGCCATCTCCCTCTCACTCCGGTTCCTTTCCGATGGCGGCCGCGGAGGTTTAGGTGGCGATCTACTCCTCCTCCCCTCCCAAACCCTAAAGCTAGACTCCTCGGTCCAGTCGGCCGCCATGTCCCTCGCTCGCATCCTCACCCTCCTCCGCCGCTCCCCCCAAAGCCTAACCCTAAATTCCCCCTCTCCCGCACCTCCACCCACTCCCCGACAGTCCTGGTTCCTCCGCCTCCTCTCCTCGTCCCCCTCCCTAGGCGACCCGCGATGGCCCGAAAACTTCCGAATGTCAAAACCCTCATTTTATCTACTCCTCCAAACCCTCTCCCCTTCCCTAAATTCCTCCCCATCCGCCGCCTCCTCTGGCGTCATCGCTATCCCTCCGGAACACAAGCTTGGCGCCGCCCTCTTCCGCCTTGCCCACGGCGCCTCTTTCCGGGCCGTCGCCCGCCGATTTGGCCTCCCTTCCCCGGACCTCGCCTGCCGCGCCTTCTACGAAGTCTGTAAAGCCGTCGCCGACCAACTCGGTCACCTCTTCGAGCTCTCCTCGGATCTCACCCGCGTCCTCCAAGGATTCCACTGGATGTCTCTCCCCAACTGCTGCGGCGCCCTCGGCTTCTCTCGCTTCTGCTCGTCCGTAATCGCACAGGCTCTGGTCGACTCCGAGGGAAGGTTCCTCGACGTCTCCGCCGGATGGCGAGCCTCCATGCCTCCGGCTGAGATCATTCCCCGTACCAAGCTCCACTCCTCACAAGCCATCGTCCTCGCCTGCGGCCCGCCTCTCCAGCTCAACGGGGTCGGTTCATCCGTTCCACGGTACTTCCTCGGCGGCTCCTGCTGCCCACTGCTTCCATGGCTGCTTACACCTTTCAGCGGTGCAGACGAACCCAGCGGGGCCGCCGCCGTTTATAATGCCGTGCATGCCCGAGGAATGAAGCTTGTTCACAAGGCTTTTGTGAGGCTCCGGGCGAGGTGGCAGTTACTGCGCGGTGGGTGGAAGGAGGAGTGCGCCGAAGCCCTGCCCTTTGTCATTGTTTCTGCTTGTCTTCTTCACAACTATCTGATCAAGTGTAGTGAGCCTGTGCCCGACGAAAGCGATATGGAAAAGGAGGTGGCGGATGGGTTCCCGGCGTTTGAGGGGAAGGCGGATAAGGTTGGGGAGAGGATAAGGTGTGTTCTTGCCTCGCACCTCAGCAAGCTTATTAATCCATGAAGGAAAGGAATGAATGAATAATGCCTACTTGGATTGTGATGCTATGTAGTATATGTGAAGGTGGAGCAGTAAGAATTAAATTGAAGTTGGATCTGAAAGCTGAAAGCCATGGCTTTGGAACAGGGTCGCATGCAACTTGTCTTTTTTTTTTTTCTTTTCTTTTTCTTCTCCTTTCTTGCAAGTTTTGAGGAGAGGTGATTGGTGTCTTATTCTGCTTAATGATTCAACTAATGACGCCCAGCTTGATCTTGTATTTTTTTTAGGATTAAATAATTATCTTATGTATATAATATATATTCATTAATAAGTTTGAACGGGCTACAAATGTATGGTATTAACAATTTTTATTTAGTTTTAAATAAATATGTATAATAGGTCTTTATAATCATATGCCTCATTCATTTTTAAAAAAAGATTTTTACGTACATAACATTTAAAATTATTGAAAATACATATTCAACATTCGAATTATTATATTTATTAATGTACCACTTAAAATTTTCCTTTCCTTCTATTCTACCATTATGTTTATTCGTGTGTCGTCTTTCGTTTGTTCTCACGAAGGAAGGTGTATTGGCATTGCTGACGTCCACGATGAACTCAATAGCCTGATTTTTGCAGTCGCCAATGCCTCCCGCGCTGCATCAGACATCCCCTACGCAGACTTGTTCGACGAAACTATCGTCCCCGCATAGTCATGGCTTCCCTTCTCCCTGCTTTACGCTCAGGTGATGTTCTAGACCATTGGGTTCAAGGAAAGCGCCTCATTTATGTTAGCGGGGAAGACAATGCTTACAGCTAAAATACGTGCTATGGCCGCCAGGAAGAAGATGAGGAGTAGGAAATTCCTTTGATAATAGATAAAGGTAAGTTTACTAGCCCAAGAATACACCCAAATGGCGACACCAACGACTAGGAAGCAGAAGGAATGCTGCAAAATAAAAGAAAAAAAAGGGTGAATTTCTCATGCCCTCCATCATCGGCAAATTGGAATAGCTCAAAGCAACTCATCATCGACAGTGAATTTCTCACCCAAATGACGGCACCAAAGAATTTGTGTTGGCATTAAAATTTCTACATGGAAAATGAGCAGCTTACTCTTAAGATTAGGAATGAAGACGAGATGATAGCGATAAGCCAGAGCCAGCCGTTGGGGCCAAGGACCAGAGCCACGGTTGCGTTAGAGGGGTTGGGGTTGAAGTATATGAACTTCTTAGCTTCAGCGTTGCTGTTTGCCGCCAGTGGTTCCATTGCTCGAGCTCAAACAGTGAAATGATGCCATCAAAGCGATGAGATGCTTTTATTCACCGTGAAAGGATGCCATTGATGGGGAAGACAGTCGCTGATAGTGATTTTTGAGCGAGGGTTTAAATGGAATGTTTTAATTGATTACAAGAGGGGTTTTAAGTGTTATATTAATAAATATATATGTTTAATTGTTAAATATAGTTTTAGGTGTTATGTATTTAAAAATCTCTAAAATAAATGATAGTATTGCTACAGGCTAGAATAATTATGATGGGAAAAGAGGACTTTATTGTATTATAAATTTATAATTATATACAAATTTTGCGCAAATAGAGATATATATAATATTTTTTTTGTGTGAGTTTAAAAAAGGAAAAATCATGGTCTAATTTAGATTATATTATTTTAGTATGTAGATTTATAATAGGTTGAGTTTGTTAAGAAGTGTTGGTGTTGGAGGGTAGCTGATGGAAAGATCGTACAAGTTTTCAGTGGACGGCTAGTAATGTTGATCGGCCAAAAATAGATGTTGATGTCAAAGGATGATGTGCTACTATTAATGGATTGAAGTGACAATAGGCATCTAATGATGTATGATGGGCAATGGTGGATGTTAATATTGGTCAATAATAGACTATGATGAACAAGCAAAGTTATTCTTGTTCCACTCTCCTCCACTTAAGTAACTGACGTTCTCATTAATATCCTTATCCCAAAATCATCCACTGTACATATAGGATTCTAGAGATGGCCCCTACAAGTTCAAGTGATGACTTCCATCACGTAGCACTTTATCCCTTAGGGCAACGTGAATAATATCTCAATAGTTAAAATTTTGGGTTATTTTAAATGATATCAGAGCAATACATCAGCAGAAAGATGATAACTAAGTGTCATACAAGACAAAGTACTATATGAGATAAAATGCTACGTGATGGAAGTCATCACTTGAGCTTGTATGGGCTACCTTTAGAATCCTATCCGCATATTGGATGATTTTGGGATAGGGATATTGATGAGAATGACAATTACTTAAGTGGAGGAGATTGTAAAACCCTTTAAGTAAAATAAGCTAAACTTTTAAACATCGATGAACCTTTTGGTGTAACGATTGTAATTTCATAAGAAACTTCACATCGTTATGTATACTCATCCTAGAGAAATCCTGGTTTATGTAACCTACTCAAAAGTTACACTAATAGGACAAAATTGTGAAGCCCTTAGATCAAAGCGGAAAATATATCGATAGTTAAAAGTTTGGGCTGTGATACGTCATCACAAAATTAGCTTGATCGGGCACGAATCTCGAGGCAAAAGCTAGTTGGAAACTTCAAAAATTAATTTTGGGAGCACCCGAACTCCGATTTCAGCGAGCTTATTGTCAAACTGAGCGTCTTGGAAATACGAATCCAACGACACCAAATTCGACCCAATCCGAGCCCAAATGGGCCCAAATCATGAACCCGAAGCGCTGTTGGAAGGTTCAAACCACAATTCGAGTTACCAAACGGACTCCAATTTTGACGAGCTTATACTCGAATCGAACGGCTCGACGAGACGAATCCAACGAGCCCAAGATCTCCGAATTCCAACATCACTAAGGCATTCAAATGTCTAACAAACGGTGCATGATCGAAGGGTTCACTATCGGCCATCCATTAAAACCACTCCCTATTCGCCCTTGATCTCACACCTATTTACGGGTCATGTCACTCCAGAAAATCTATAAATAGAGCCCTCATTCATCACAATGAAGGGGGATCCAGGCTAGAGAGAGGAGAAGAGAAGAAAAGGAAGAAGAGGAGGGAGCTCCTCTTCGACGACCGCCGGACCACCGCAGGAGTCTCGCCGGGCCACCGCCGGACCACCGCAGGAGTCTAGCCGGGCCACCGCCGGACAACCGCAGGAGTCTCGCCTGGCCACCGCAGGAACCTCGCCGGACCACCGCCAAAGCCTCGCCGGAGTTTTGTTGCACCACTGCGGAAGACCCGACGTCCTGCTGAAGACCCGACGTCCTGCGGAAGACCCGACGTCCTGCTGAAGACCAGACGTCCTGCCTAAGGCCCGACGTCCTGCTGAAGACCCGACGTCCTGCTGAAGACCCGACGTCCTGCTTAAGGCCCGACGTCCTGCTGAAGGCCCGACGTCCTGCTGAAGACCCGACGACCTGTTGAAGACCCGACGTCCCGCCTAAGGCCCGACGTCTTGCCGAAGACCCGACGTCCTGCTGAAGACCCGACGTCCTGCTGAAGACCCGACTCCTTGCTGGAGACCCGACGTCCTGTTTAAGGCCCGACGTCCTACCAAAGACCCGACGTCCTGCCGAAGACCCGACGTCACTCAAGGCCCGACATTCAGACCCCACGCTCAGCTCACGTCCGGACTATCGACATCCGATCTTCCAAGTGATACTGGGTCTAACACCCGACTCCTTTTTGATAGTAACCAGTTGTAATCTGAACACCCCTGAAGGTGATTCAACCATTTGTAACCGATTCAAAGTTCTAGTGGAATCATTTTCAATTGGGCTAGGCCCCGTGATTTTTTCTCTTTTCAAGGGTTTTCCACGTTAAAAATCTTGTGTTCTCTGTGTGTGAGCTAGTTATCCGTTCAACGCTAAGACGCAGAATTAAACCTCTATCGCCGCGTATTTTCTAGCCCGCAACAGGCTGTTACCTAAATTACTTTGATTAGAAGTTTATTGAAAATAACATTTCAATGACGTCATAATCAATTATGGAGTTTTTGGCCAAATAATTGAGTCCTTTAAAATTTGAAAATTATGATAAAATTCCTATTTAATTAGATGGATTCTTTAAAAAACGAGTTATCACTTTTTTATGTCACAATCTAAAAGCTATAAAAACACTTATGATCTCAAAAAAAAAATTAATTGTCCTAATTTTGAGGAGATTTTAAGACACGTCCGTTTTAATGATGTATTAATTTCTTCTCTATTTTGAATACGAGAATCTAAAAATTCAAAAGTACTTTGAATCTTCAAGAAATTGAGACCCACAATCATAACATCAAGGAGATTTTAGTGCACAACCACTCCCTTAAATATTAATATAAGTAGTTCCACTTTAATTATGAATTCAGTCTCTTGTGAATGATTATATAGATAAAAAGAGACAAAGAGAAAGATGGATATCATAAGTGAAATTATTCATGGCCCAATAGTTACAAAGGATAATTTTACTATGCTATAGTGCCAAACCTAACACTTCAAGATTATCATGTATGGTAGTCAGAATTTTATTCATAATGAACCTCAAAAATCTAAAATTTATCTTAGATGTTGTAATATAAATTTTGATTAATTTTTAAAATGTTGTACTTATCTCATAGTAAATTCAATGATTACTAGACCCCTCATTTAAATATAACTTTTTTTCATTATATATCTTTCAGTTTTTATTCAATTTGTTGATTAATTAAAATTTAAAGCAGCTAAGAGATAATATTTGACTATTTTTATAATACTAATCAGATTTAATTGTTATAAATTTAATTATCTAAAATGATAGTTGAGACTTAGGTTTCGTTTGGGACAGTTTTCTTACTGCTTTTTAAAGTAGATTTCTAGTAAAAAAAATTTTAAACTAAAAATTTTTATACTAGAAAATTGTTTTAGGCATCTTTCGAGACGGCTATATTATTGCTTCTTAAAGTATATTCATAGCACAAAAAGTTTAATTTTTGTACTAGGATTCTGCTTTAAGAAGCATAAAGAAAGTCATCCCAAATAAAGTCTTAAAAAGCAATAAGAAAGCTGTCTGAAACGAAAACTTAGCTTCATTTGGGACAATTTTTTTGTACTAGAAAGCTGCTTTAAGAAGCAACAAAAAAGTTGTCCCAAACAAAATTTTAGACGTTATTTGAGATAACTTTTTTATTATTTTATGAATCAAAATTTTAATACAAAATTTTAAGTTAAAAAAAAATTGTACTAAGAATTTGTTTCATAAATCAGTAAAAAAGCTGTTGAGAGGAAAGCCTTGTTATCGGGTCGAGTTGGTCGCTGAGCGGGTCTACCTTTATCCGATGGCATTTAGTTTTCGGGTCGCTGCTCGACAACGGAGTCACTTACCAGTTTACCCCGGCCAAAAGAACCTTCTAGGCGTTTACTCCATTGTGGCGGGAGGAGGGCTATAATCGTCTTTTTTATCTCGTGCATTCTCTTCTACGTTGAGGAGTCTATTTTCCCTGTCGTGAATGGCCTCTCCACGAAACCGGACAGCTTCGATGATCGCTGCAAAGCAAAGTAATTTTCGAGGTTCGAAGCTCTGCTCTCCGATTTATCCCTTCTTGAGTTTACATAATTCCACCTTTTCCGGCATAGCTTGTATATTATTTTTTATCTTTCTGGCAATATTGGGTTTAGCATGAGCTTACTTGGTTCTGAAGTCAGGATTAGGTTAGACGGTTCACCTTTCACAGATTTGGATCGCTTCATAACAGGGAAAAATCTTCAAGCCGCCTATGGAACCGCGTGATCCAAGTGGAGAGTTGACTTGGAGTTGTAATTAGTCCTGTTCTGTTTTGTCTGGAGTTATTTCTCAGAAGGCAGATTAATTCATGCATTAGAACTAATTAATCCGTTTAATATAAGCTTATAAATATATCTAATATTTCGATCAATTTATGTATTTATTTTTGAGAAAGTTAAGTTGTTTAATTTCAATAAAACTTTTTATCACAGCTGAGGATTTGGAGGAGTTTAAAAGAACTTCTAAATTTTCAGAATAATTAACTTAAGGGGTCTCTGTTCTAATGAGATATTAGATTGTGTTCATCTTAATCTATTTAGCCACTTTATTTACTTTCCAATTAGAAATCTTCTGGTCAGAAAGGCCAGTGGCCTTTTGTTGGATGGTTTTATTGTGTTATATATTGTGTTTCTCAAGGAAATAATATCAAAATTTTCTGTTACAAATCGGGCAATTGATATAACCATTGATGTATTCTTTGTTTGCTACAGGAGTTAAGTACTCGGTAATTATTGTGGCTTTGATCATTTAGTTACCTACAGCATTCATTATGTTTTATTGTGAGAATCAGTTTTCATGTGAGTGAAAAGTATAGTTTGCAAGTCAAGTTTTTTTAATTATGCTGTGTTTCTAAAAAAGAGACACAATTATGATTGGCTCAACTAACTTTAAAAGTGGTTACTTAACCTACAATTGCAGCTTAATGGATGATATTTATGCCAAAGTAGAGGTTTACCCTGATCACTTCCAAGAGAGTGAAGAATCTGATGATGTCCTGCAATCAAGGAAAAGAAATGGTTCTTCGTTAAGGTGCTTAATTTTCTTCTTCATTGCATAAATATATTTAAATTTCATTTACCTTTAATGGTTCTAATGCTTTTTTTTTTATGCAGATATCGCAGTCATTCGTGGGCGGTAAGGAAAGTGATAGATTCTGCTTCAATGTTGAACTTGTTTCGCCTGTCACGTTTTCCATGGTCATCTGACTCTTGTGATAATGATAAGGTGTGCTTAAGCAGTGATAATGAATTATTGTTAATAATATTGCTTACTATATCCATTGTTTAATTTAAACTCGAGTGCTTATCTCTCTTGGTAACATGTATTTTTTTTATGTTTTGATTGAGATGAGTTGTTGAATGGGCAGGTGGAGCTAAGTGTTGCAGAAGTAGAATCTCTTCGCTCTGAAATTGCATATGCTGAAGAAAGGGAAGCTCATTTGAAAGCACAGTATGATACTTGAAACTTATCTAGTATCTCATTCTTATGAAAGTGTAGGATCCACGTGGGTCATTTTGTTTCTTTGTTCCTTTTTTTTTTGGTATTTGCCCGAACATTTTCCTTGTCTATGTGGTGGCTCAAATTTGTGGCCCTTGTTCTTTAATTTTGATAGTATACATATGGTGTTATTATTATCTTAGGCTTCATTTGGGACGACCTTCTTATTGGTTTCTAAAGTAGCTTTTTAGTGTAAAAATTTTTAGTTCTAAAATTTTTTTACTAGAAAGAAGCTTTAGAAAATAGTAAAAAAGCTTACCCAAACGAAGCCTTAGTCTAACTTAGTTCATGAAGACGGTATCAAGAAGACGCAGAATAGGAAGAAAAAGATGTTATGAAAAGCTATATTATTATATCCTGATATTACTGTTTACATGGGTATATATAGACCTAAGCTATATAATATTAACGACTCATATTACATGATAATAATATAATGGTGGAGATAATACATGATGGTTAACATCCCCCTCAAGTTAATAGTGAATTGTTAACTTGTTTCTAAGTTGCAAAAATCTAGCATAAGACATTATTTTTGTGAAACTATCAGCTGACTGATCTAAGGATGCAATATGATGAGTTGAAATGTGCCCATTTTTGATGCAGTCGTGAATAAAGTGATAATTGACTTCAATATATTTTTTTCTTGCATGAAACACTGGATTGCTTGCAAGGGCTAAGGAAGAGACGTTGTCACAATAGACAGGTGTAGGAGTAGAGCACAAAATTTTGAAGTCGGAGAGAAAACACCTTATCCACAAAACATCACTGGCCGCTATGGAGAGAACACGATATTCCACCTCCGTAGATGATCAAGCAACAGTCGTTTGTTTCTTGACAGACCATGAGAGAAGATTATCTCCTAAGAACTCACAATATCCGGAGATCGAGCGACGGTCAGTGGGATTTGCTACCCAGTCGGAGTCTGCAAATGCTTGAAGCTGAAATGTATAAGGTAGGATTGGCATAGCATAATCAACAATGCCTGTAAGATATCTAGATACTCGTTTGAGGAGCTGGAAGTGTGACTGATACGGTTTTTGCATATGCTGACAAAGATAGTTGACAGTGAATGCAATATCAGGTCGACTGATAGTAATATACTAAAGTGATCATATCAATTGTTTGCATAATTTGGGTTGATCGAACAGCTCAACAGACTCAGAGAGTGGCGGAAGTTTGGATGGTAGCGGGCTGGTAACAGGTTTACAATGAAGCATGCCATTTTTATTCAAAAGATTTGTGATATACCATTTTTGAGACAACTGTAGACCTATAGAGGTAGTTGTGATCTTAATTCCCAGAAAATAGGTGACTTGACCCAAGTTGCGTAAGCTAAAAACCGTATGTAATGTCTGAAGGAAGCGTTGAAGTTCTTTTGAATTATTTCCAGTAAGAAAAAAATAATCAACATAAATGAGGAGATACATCTCAATTAAACCTTTGTGAAATATTAGAAGTGATAGGTCTGTTTGACTTGCTTTAAAACCGAACTGAAGCAATCAAAGATGATATAGTGGAGAACCGTTGTCTAGGAGACTGCTTTAGGCCAAATATAGCCTTATGAAGATGATAAACATGATTGGGGTATTGAGGATCAATAAACTCAGGCGGTTGCTTCATGTAGACTTGATCATATAAAGTTCCATGAAGGAACACATTCGATACATCCAAATGATAAACCGGCCATTAGAATGTAGTAGCAACAATAAGAAGTAATCTGATAGTTGGAAACTTAGCAATGAGACTAAAAGTTTCCGTATAATCAAAGCCATATTCTTGTTTAAATCCTTGTGCAACGAGACAAGCCTTTTGATGGGCAATGGTTATGTCGGAATTAAACTTCGTCTTGAACAACCATTTGCACCCAAGAATATTTTGATCAGGTGAAGTAGGAACAAGAGACCAAGTACCTGAGCTTGTAAGGCCTGAAATTCAATAGACATAGTTGAACGCCAAACTATAAATTTATTAGCTTCAGAGAAAGAAGTGGGAGAAAGGGGAAAAATAGTGTGTTGAAGATCTAACACCTATTTTGGTTTAAGAGAGCCAGTTTGCCGCCTCATAATCATAGGGTGACAAGGTATAAGAGCTGATGATGAAGGTGGCTGAATTGGAGGTGGAAGATAAGTGGTTGAATTTGAAGTGGAGGGAGTTTCATATGGCGTTGTGGACTCTGATGAAGGATTGACATAAGGAGTGGCAGTGGTTGATGAAGTTTGATGAGAGGTATTTATATGCTGTAGATGAGTTGTGGTAGAAGAGTAAGAGGGATTACCAGAGGAAACGAAAGTGGGAATCAGAGTAAGAGGAGGAATCAACACAGTTGATGGAGGGATTGTAGTGGAATGAGTTTGAGTAGTCTGAGAAGTAGCTGACCGAAATGGAAATATATCTTCAACAAATCTGACATGGCGATATATATATATATATATATACATATATACACATATATACACACCATTTGTGAGAAGATCCAAGCATTTATATCCAGCAGAATGAGCTGCATAACCTAGAAAGACACAGGAAATTGCTCTTGGCTGAAGTTTGTGTTGTTGAATTGGCGATAACCAAGGATAACATAGGCAACTAAACACCCAAAGATGGTTATAGGAAGGTGCTTGATTGAATATGCATTGATAAGGGGACATGTTGTTTTTAGACTTTATGGTAAGCGATTTATAAGATAAGCATCAGTTAATAATGTATCAACCTAGTAGGAGAAAGGGATATTAGCTTCAAATAATAACTCACACATTGTTTCAAGCAAATGCTTGTGTTTCCTTTCAGCAATTCCATTTTGTTGCGGGGTATAAGGACAAGTAAGTCTGTGAGCAATGTCGAAATTTTGCAAGCATTTGTCAAATTATTTATTGATACATTCACCACCACGATCAAAATGATGATCTTTTATGGTCGTTTGAAATTGATTTTCAACCAAATGCTTAAAATGTAGAAAAGTTTGAAGAGCATCAGATTTATGTTTAAGGGGAAACATCGAACTATAATAAGTATAATCATCAACAAACAAAATGTAGTATTTGTAATGTTGAGTAGAAGAAATTGGGAAAGGTTCTCATACATTAGTATATAGTATTTCTAAACGTTTAGTAGTTTTAGAAACAGTTGAAGAAAATGGTAAGCGGTGACTTTTTGCACCAGCACAAGAATCACAATGAAAACTGTGCTTTTGTAGACTAAGAGAACTTGAAGCAACATGAAGAACGTCAGCAGCAGGATGTCCAAGTCTTCAATGCCAGACAAAAGTATTGGTAGAAACTGTAAGAAGGGAGGTGGGATAGGAAGCAAGGGAGGCAGAGGCTGCAGCAACAAGTAGCTCAATAAGATATAGTCCGTGACGGCTGGTACCCCAAAGAAGGGGATGATGAGTCCGAGAATCCTTAATGGTAAAACCATTAGAATGAAAAATAATATAGAATTTATTGTCTTTAATTAATCAGTGAACATAAAGAAAGTTATGAGTAAGATGTGGAACATGAAGGAGATGAGAAAGTTGAAGCTTACGAGCGGGTGTAGGCAGAATGCCTTGACCCAAATGAGCGATGGGAAGCTGAGTTCCATTTCAACCTTGGACTTGAGAATTGCCAGCATATGGTTGCATAGATTGTATCTGAGAAGCGTCTGAGGTAAGATGAGTACTTGCACCTGAATCAAGAAACTAATCAACCGGAGGGGATTCATCATGAGCTAAGAACACCTAATGTGTAGAAGTTTTATAGGAAAGATTTGTGCGGTGCCAACAATTCGTAGTTGAATGTCCAAAAATGTTCACAAATTTGACATTCAATAGAGACAGTGGGCCGACGATCAGAAACTGAGATCGACCACCTCACTGAGTCGAGGAATGTCTACGGGATCTGCCTCTCGAACGACCTTGAGGTGCCGTAAGAGCAAAAGATTATCCCGTTGAGTTATGCTCAGAGCTTTCATAACGATTTTCGACTGCAATGTTGGTTTCTTCGCTACATAATAACACATATAGCTCGTCCAGATGAATTGGATGCAGTTTAGTCCGGATTGAAGTCTTGAAGGTGTTGTAAGAAGAAGGAAGACCATTAAGCGTATAGAATATAATGTCTTCAGGTTCAATATGTGAACCGGCTGCAGTAATGGCGTCAACTTGTTGTTTTATTTTTGAGAGATATTGCACCATAGTGCGACACGCATTTGTATCTGATGAAGTTTGTTCTTGAGTTGCAAGATGCGCGAGTGATTGGATGATTGTAAGCGTAGGTTTAAAGTGAACCAAATATTCATACATGAATCAAGATTTAGGCATATTGTAAGAGCGAGGATGAAATGGTAGAAAATAGGGCGGATGCCAAATTTTGATTGATGAGCTTCCAAGAATGATAGTGGGAATTAACTGTAACGGTATGATCATCAAGAATGAGTTGTTTTGGAGGTTTTAGAATGAACCATCAAGATATCCGAAAAAATTGTTGGCAGAGAAGAGTTTTAAAATTTGAGATCTCCAAATGTGGTAATTATTGGTAGTAAGCTGAACATTCAAAATAGTTTTAACATTGGACATCAAGAATTTGAGGTTAGCGGGAATAGAAATGTTCGTGGATGTGGATGAGGATGAGGACGGTGGAATAGCAGAGGAGGTAGAGGAATTTTCTTGCGCTGCCATTGAAGAAGAAGAATGAAGGAGATTACCTGGTTTGCTCTGATACCATGAAGACAGTATCAAGAAGACGCAGAACAGGAAGAAGAAGATGATATGAAAAGCTATATTATTATCTCCTGATATTACTGTTTACATGGGTGTATATAGACCTAAGCTATACAATATTAACGGCTTATATTACAAGATAATAATCTAACGGTGGAGATAATACATGATGATTAACAATTCATTGCTTGTTATTTTACAGAAATGATATGGAAAAATGAAAATTTATCTATAAGTGGTTAATGGGAAATAT